GTACTCCTGTTCTCGGAGGTCTTGGGAGCTAAGGTGGTAAGTGCCACTATTCGTACTGCGTATGTGAGAAGACTGGATAGGTTGGAGTCATTCTTAGTGCACAAAAAAAAGTGCCGGGGACTGGAATAAGATTGGAACCGTTGAGAGGCAAAGCAAAGTGAAATGCTGCAATGCAGCTTCGGCATCGCGTCAATTACGTACATGAGGGGGTTATGAACGATGCTGGCGCTAGCATTCGGTGTTCTGCTACGGGTCTTGCTGGCGCATGTACTTGGATTGAATCTGGCATGTATATCCGTACTAATTACACAAAAACAGTTTTAGGGTCACTGGTGACCGAGCAGGCATCATAGTGAGGGCGAAAGAGAAGACCAAAGAAAAAGTCAGCAACGGCAAACGACGGAACAAAACGGAGACGGTACTGGGCCCCCCAAGTAGCAGAGGGTACTTGTTGGACACACGAGAATTCAACGAGTTGCTGTTTTGGGCGGCGCTGAGCCCATTGGAGCCCATATTACTCGTCAGATTGCGGGCTCTTTGCGTCTCACGTGCGGGACGTGTAGTCAAGCGGTGGAGTATCAAGTGCCGTCGTATTCCATTATACTAAGGTAACGGTATCCTCTCCGAAAGTGGGAGAGATTTTTCCCAAACATCAACAGAGTCATACTTTGATATGATCCACGGTGAATATGGGGGGCCCCCCTTTTGGAACGTTTCCAGTTTTTCCCGTCTCGCCAAACACCCAACACTCGAAGAGTTCTCGTCCGAGATGATTGAGGTATTACGCATAGGTAAGGTGCCAAGCTAAGGTAGTGTGGCGTGTGTTGAGGTCTCGTCCATGGAATGGCCCGAGTTCAATGTCCATGGCAGCATTTGGAAGGTTCTCAGGGCGTTCAAAGTGGGATGCGGGACCCCCGGGCCAGGGCACCTTGCGGCAACGGGCCAATCCGCGGGCGTCATTTGCAAATCAGGGCGCTGTACCCCGCGTTCACAGGTCTTCCGTCGCCAGGACCCACTGCTGGCTGGAGCTGGCGCCTCCGATCATCGGACACTTGGGAACTTTTTCGTCCCAAAGCCTCACCCACGTAGTAGTCACAGTTGATTGTTTCGTTTTCTAGGTACCGGTAGCTTTGTAGCCAGATTGATGTATTTGGTGTGTTGTGCGTAGTGGGAAAAAAGGGTTCGAGGTACCTGCGGTTTGCGGGCACTTTTGCAAGAGGGGCGGGCGGGCGTAAGTGTACCTACGTGCTTTCTCTTCCTTGTCGCCCTTGCAAGCTGGCACCTCTTTCTCGCTCCGATTTCGTACCTTGTTCTTTTTTCGCTCTCTCTCTCTCTCTCAGTCACTAGGTCTCTTATTACGGAGCAATTTGATTCAGGTGTTCCCAACTCTAAGCAGAGGCAAGCACCGACCTCAGACACAACAGAGGGACGAAGGCCTCCTGGTCCGGCAGATACATATTGAGCTGCTCTTCCCCCACACCCCTGACCACACCTCTCCTCCGACTCAGGATTTTTCTACGTTTTCTACTTTTTTTTTCCCTCTCTTCCCTTTCCAAACGCTTCTCCTCCCAACGAACCATCTTCTCATCTCTCTCTCACCAAACCCTCTCCCTCTCCGTCATCCACTACCTAGACTCCCAATCACCATACAAACAGAGTCACACACACGCACGCACACTCGCAGACACTCGCATCCATCGGCTGCTCTCACACCAGCTTGATTTGACAAGGAAGCTTGGGAACCACCACCCTCGCAACACCCTACCAGGTCCCTTCAATTGAGGCCGACCTGACCTGCTTTTGAAATTGCATCGCTTTTCCTCCCCGTCTCTCCGAGTTGCACAAAATGCCCGTTGCCGAAGGCACCCCGCAAACTCTCTACGACAAGGTCCTCCAGGCCCACGTCGTAGACGAGAAGTTGGACGGCACGATCCTGCTGTACATTGGTAAGTTCTGCGTCATGCTCTTCCCCCCATTGCGAACGATCTGGATCTTGGATCTGCGCGGAGAAAAGGAAAGGAATTCATTTGCTAACAATGAGACGCAATGCAGACAGACATCTCGTGCATGAGGTCACCTCTCCTGTACGTTTGACGCTTGCTCCTGTTTTTGGCTTTTTTTCCCTCCTGCTTCCCCTCGTAACCCCTTCGCTATCCGCAGCCGCCGCATTCGCACTCCGGCTCGGATGACGTCGGTTGATCGACCCCACCATGACATCTCGCTAACAAAGGGCTGCAGCAAGCATTTGAGGGTCTGAAGAATGCAGGCCGCAAGGTCCGCCGACCGGACTGCACCCTCGCGACCACCGATCACGTAAGTTTCTTGTTCCACACAATCTCTCACACGCGCGCACATGCGAGAAGCATCGCTTTCGCCCGCCCAATCTCAATTCCGTAGTGGTGGTCCAATCGCTAACATGTGGCTGGCCAGAATGTCCCCACTTCGTCACGGAAAGGCATGAAGGACATTGGCTCCTTCATTGCCGAAGATGACTCCAGAGTCCAGTGCATGACCCTCGAGGAGAATGTCAAGGACTTTGGCCTCACATACTTTGGTCTCGGCGACAAGCGCCAGGGTATCGTCCACGTTATCGGTCCCGAGCAGGGCTTCACCCTCCCCGGCACCACCGTTGTCTGCGGTGACAGTCACACCTCGACCCACGGCGCCTTCGGTGCCCTGGCTTTCGGTATCGGTACCAGCGAGGTCGAGCACGTCCTTGCCACCCAGTGCTTGATCACCAAGAGGAGCAAGAACATGCGGATACAGGTCGACGGAGAGCTTGCCCCCGGCGTCAGCTCAAAGGATGTTGTCTTGCACGCCATTGGCAAGATCGGAACGGCTGGCGGTACCGGTGCCGTTATCGAGTTCTGCGGTTCAGTCATCCGTAGCCTCAGCATGGAGGCCCGCATGTCCATCTGCAACATGTCCATCGAGGGTGGTGCGAGAGCCGGCATGGTCGCTCCCGACGACATCACCTTCGAGTACCTGAAGAACCGCCCCCTGGCCCCCAAGTACAACTCGGACGAGTGGCACAAGGCCGTCAAGTACTGGAAGTCTCTCCAGTCCGACGCCGACGCAAAGTACGACATTGATGTCTTCATTGACGGCAAGGACATCATCCCCACCATCACCTGGGGCACCAGTCCCGAGGACGTCATCCCCATCACCGGCGTCGTCCCCGACCCCGAGACCTTCTCCACTGAGAACAAGAAGGCCGCCGGCCGCAGAATGCTCGAGTACATGGGCCTGACCCCCGGAACCCCCATGGAGGATATCCCCGTCGACAAGGTCTTCATCGGTTCCTGCACAAATTCCCGTATCGAGGACTTGCGTGCCGCGGCCCACATCGTCAAGGGCAAGAAGATTGCGGCGAATATCAAGCGCGCCATGGTCGTCCCCGGCTCTGGTCTCGTCAAGACTCAGGCCGAGGCCGAGGGCTTGGACAAGATTTTCGAGGCCGCCGGCTTCGAGTGGCGTGAGGCCGGTTGCAGTATGTGCTTGGGCATGAACCCCGATATCCTGGCCGCCAAGGAGAGATGCGCGTCCACCAGCAACAGAAACTTTGAGGGTCGCCAGGGTGCCGGCTCCCGCACCCATCTCATGTCCCCCGTGATGGCTGCTGCTGCCGGTATCGTCGGCAAGCTGGCTGACGTCAGAAAGCTCGAGGGTTACCAGACGAGCCCTAAGCTCCAGGCCACCATTACCCCCGACAGCGAACCCCAGGTTGACGAGCGGGTCGAGGAGAGCGACGCTGAGAAGGAGGCCATCGCCGACCAGCCCGAGGACAACGAACCCCACACCAACACTATTTCTGCCGGTAGCTCTGCTGGTCTTCCCAAGTTCACCAACCTCAAGGGTATCGCCGCTCCCCTGGAGATGTCCAACGTCGACACCGACGCCATCATCCCCAAGCAGTTCCTCAAGACCATCAAGCGCACTGGTCTCGGTAACGCCCTCTTCTACGCCCTCCGCTTCAACGAGGACGGTTCCGAGAACCCCAACTTCATTCTTAACAAGGACCCCTACCGCAGCTCCAAGATCCTCGTCGTCACCGGTCCCAACTTTGGCTGCGGTTCGTCGAGAGAGCACGCCCCCTGGGCCCTCAACGATTTCGGCATCCGCTGCGTCCTCGCGCCCTCGTACGCCGACATCTTCTTCAACAACACCTTCAAGAACGGCATGCTGCCAATCATTATGGAGGACAAGGAGAAGCTGGAGAAGATTGCCGCCGAGGCGCGCGCCGGCCGCGAAGTCGAGATCGACTTGCCCAACCAGCTCATCAAGGACGCCGACGGCAACACCCTCGCCTCTTTCGACGTTGAGGAGTTCCGGAAACATTGCCTCATTAACGGCCTCGATGATATCGGCCTGACCATGCAGCAGAACGACAAGATTGCCGACTACGAGCGCCGCATGTCCCAGCTCACCCCCTGGCTCGACGGCACCAACTACCTCAAGAGGGATCCCAAGACTGGTCGCCTCCTCGCCAAGGCCGTCCCCGTCCCCAAGACGAACCGGGGTGAGACCAAGAAGGAGCCTCTTGAGTGGTAAGGTACTCAGAGACAGAAAGAAAAAAGAGCAAACAAAAACACAAAAAATTGGATTGGCTTTTTCAAAACTAGGAAACTAGGGAGTTTAAATCATGTAACGTGTCTACGATACGAATCTGGGTTACGGCTTGTTTTTGCAAAGGGACAATCTTATCTTGTCCAGAGATGACATTACTCATCATGCTGGCGGCGATTTGGGAATTATTCAAAGAATAAGGGAGGGATTTGGTTATTACGTGGCATTCTATTTTCTCTTCTCGAGATGAAAAAGCTGCGGGAAAAAGTTTTCAAGTTAGATGCGCAGTTCGTCACAATAACGGAGCTTTCGCAACACATCATCCTTCACTTGTGAACCGTTCGTGGGACCCGTTCTACAAGTCTGCATAGCTTCAAGAGGATATGGTGATGATGTTGATACGCTGCTTAATATAAAGCTACGCAACGGAGTATTTAGAAATCCACCGTAGCCTCCCTCAAAATCCCAACATGCACCACAAACCCAGCCTCGATCCTCAACCCCTCGGGGAGCGACGCATCCGGTACTCTCCAGGTTCGAAAGTCGCGGTGGAACGCGCCGATCCATTCCTCAAAGACGTCCGGGCTGCGGAGCTGCTGCGCCACGATGCAGACGCACGGCTCGGACCGGGCCGTCGTTGAAGAGGAGGAGGAGGGGTTGTCGTCCTGGTCGTCCTGGTCTTGGTCCTCCTGCTGGGCACGTACACGCAACCGAGCGAGGTCGGCGGTGGTGGAGACGAGTGGCTCGACGAGGGCCTCGTTGTAGATGCAGTCGCAGCAGACGACGACGTCGAAGCTGTTTGCGGTGGAAGGGGGTACGCCGGTGAGGGAGGGGTCTGGGGTGTCGAGTTCCCAGTCTAGGGGGCGGAAGGAGATTGTTCCTGGCGATGACGACGTCGTTGCGGAGGTTGCTGTTGATGAGCTTGCTGCTGCTTTTCGTGAACGGCGAGAGGTTGACGAGGAGGATGATGAGGACGAAGACTTGGGAAGGGGGTTCGCTTCGAGGTTCTGGTGGATCATGCGCGACACGTAGGGTTGGTCTGTGAGGACGTAGCGGGCGACGCGCGGGGCGAGGAGGAGGGCTGTCAGCGGGGAGATGCCGCAGCCTAGTTCGAGGATTGTCGAGGTGGGGGTGAAGAGCTGGGTGAAGGGGGAGGTTGGGGAGGAGAGGTAGGTTGCGAAGAGGGGGGTTATTTTCCAGAGGACTGGTTTTTGTTTAGTCAGTTGCAGTTCAGGGGGTTGGAAGATTTAGATGAGTAGGGTTAAGCGGTTTGAGAGGTGTTCCAAGGTGAGGGTGGGAGGGTGAAGTTGAGAGTAGGTTGTGGGACTACCTATAATGACAAGGGGGGTTCAAGATTGCCATGGAGAATGACATGAGTGAGGTTGAGAGAAAGTTTTTGACTTTTATGACAAAGGGGAAATTTGATAGATGGAAGGACGGGGTAACGCGAAATAGGGCCGCGAAATGAGAGAGGTCTGTGATGGTTGATTCGGAAGGGGGGGGGGGGGGAGAAATATAGAAATACTGACCGGCCCCGGTCGTGCCTCCGGCGCGGGTCGATGAGAGGACCGTGGGGGACTGGTGGATCGTGAAGTCTCTGCCCGCCAGCGTCAGGGAGAGTTCGGTGGCTTTCGGGTCGACGAAGCCCAGGTTCGAGGACGGGATGTTGTGGGAGAAGAGGAAGAAGGTCTCTGTTTGGCGCACACGTAGGATCTCCCGTGTAAGTCGGTTGCTGCGGGGTGCCTGTTAGGTAGTAGGATGGATGAACGCACCCTCTTCTGGGTCGAGAATTTCATCCTCTAGGGTTGAGATGAGAGCTTTTACGGCCATTGTTGCCGGCTTCGTCTCTGCGCGAGACGGGTGGGAGCCCCGGAAAGAGTTAGATGAGGGTATAGCTGGAGTGAGTAGATATGTTGGTCGGTCTACACCTTCATCTTAGCGTGTCTGTTTAGAGAACTGATGTGGTTGTACTCCGTAGTCAGGACGGCCGTAGGAGGTTGCGGAGGACGGACGCACGGGCCGAAAGTGGACAGGTAGAGATTTGGGGGCAGTATTTTTTCTTCGGCGGAAAAAAAACATCGGGGCTCAAATCCGACGACATGTCTTCGGGCCGGGGTCCCCAGCTTAATCGGAAACCCGCATCAGACCGTTCAACCCGATCTGCTAAACCTCTTCAAGGAAATATTCTAAAACAGAAACAAGCTTTACAAGGAAGTTTTTAACTGTTTCCCGAGATACGCGTATATATCGGATTCGTCGCGTTAAGCTCGGATTTGATCAATTGTTGTGAGCGTGGTTCTCAAATGGCTCAGAATCAACTCTCACACGATGAAGTTGAAAGATAGTTGGAGAATCATGATTGTTTGATGAATTCACAATGCTTTCTACCGCTCTCACTCTAACAAGCTGTGGAATAGAGTAACAGAAACAGCAACTCTGCTCTCAGAGATCACAGGTACACGTCAATCCTCCTAATAGGCCAAAGTCTTCTGCAGAGCCTCTAGCAGACTGTCGGATCAGCTCGCTTCCCGTCATCCCGAAAAAAGAGAAACGTCGTCCCAAAACTGCCGTGTTTGTACTTTTTGACAAGAAAAGCTTAGAATCCGTTAGCTACGTTGTCACAACTCGGAGAAAGGTAACCAAGCTCTTACAGTACACCGTCTAAGCAACCCATCCCCAAATGTTCTTGATGCTCTTGCAGACATCAATGGGCGCCTCGTTCTGCTCAAACACGAGATCGCAGACCTGGTTCTTGGCGGGGGTGACCCAGCAGGCGTAGTTGCCGTCGAAATCGATGCAGATGGTGGCGGCGAAGGCGCCGCCGCCGCCGCCCTGGTGGATCTGGCAGTTCTGGTTGAGGGTGGTGACGACCTGGAGGTCGCGGGACTGCCACTTCCAGTTGGCGTTGTCGACGCTCTCGAAGCGGAAGCCCGTGTTGGACTTGCGGGTCTCCGGGTCGAGGGCCTGGGTGCAGTAGTCTGCGGCGACGAAGGAGGCGCCGAGGAGGATGGTGGGGAAGAGGGTGGAGAATTGCATCTGTGGGAGATGGGATGGTCAGCCTTTTGTGATCTGAGGCGGGAACAGTTGGGGCGAGGGCTTTTATCCTACCTTTGCGGTGTTGAGTTGAAGAAGTTGGGGATGTAAGTGATTGGAATGGGTGTCAGAGACTGTAAAAGAAAGTGATGATGAGATAGTGACTGTGATAGTGAGAGACTGTAAGATGCAGTGTGAGCTGTGTGATGAGGGAGCTTTTGACCGAGTTACGGCGGCAATCTTGTCAATACTTATACTCTTGAAATGAAGGCATCTCGACCATATACATCTTGGCATCACCGCATCAAGTCGTGTAAGTCATTTGCGAATCCGACAATGCCCCCAAAATAACACTCTGTTTTGAGTTGAGTGAGATTACATCTCAAAGTCCTGAACCGAGATCTCCGACCTCCGAGTCACTTGTTCACTGCCTCAGTCAAAAAAAAAAGAAAGTAAACTACAGTTTTGGATATTTCGTCGTCGTTCACCGAGTCAAGCAAAGGCTTGGGGGAGCCTCGAGAGGTGCAAAAGTCAAATTGATTATAGTATTTGAGTTGAGAAGGATTACTGAACAACCAGTTTGAATAGCGTAAGGTACCCTCGCCCGCAAAATAGATTCCGCATAATGCATCACCCGCCAGACGCAAGCCGCGGAGTCGGGATTTTACCCCACTATTTAATAACGGACGGAAGACGGACTTTTTAGATACTCGGCGGTGATGGAACGTGCTTGGATCCATAGGTAGGGCAGTGAGGGTGCACGATCGGGGGCGAAAAAATGATTAGAAGAGTTGTACGTGTAAGAAACCCCTCCTTAATTCATAGCCTAGTTGCGAGAGAAGATGCCGTGCCAAGATCTCATCACCTAGTACTCATGTGTTCCAATCTAATAGACTCAAGGCGCCTGCTCTAATTTACAACCCAGCACCCGACGAAAAATCATAGTAACCATGTCTTTAGCCTCCTGCTCGCCGACCTGTACAGGACCGTCACCCTGATCCCACATAATCTCCGTAATTTCCGCCCCGACGTCAGCCCCCTCTCCCGCCGCGTCCGCGGGTCCGGGCCCATCCGAAACTGCTCGGGTCGATGCCCTGACCTGAAACTGCTCGTGGCCGGTCCAACTCCGGTACACATGGACCACCATCGTGCCCTGCGCATCTGGCCCGTCCGAACGACTCATCCAGCGATCGTCCATCGACGTCGGCTGGTAGCCGAGGAGGAGCTTGGCGGCGTCTGTTCCTGAGATACATAGGTGCCAGGCCGCCGTGGCGGGATTGCCGATGGGATGCAGGTCGCCCCAGTTGGAGCCGGTGACGCGTTTGGATGTTGACTCGCTGGGCGGCGGAGGGGAGGAAATGGAAGTTGAAGCGTTGCCCATGATGAAGAGGTAGATTTGAGAGAGAAAGATAGGATACGCCGGGTACGTTCTGGATGGATTGGTGGATTGAAGGAAATTGGGATCGTGCAATGGAGTTACTTGATTTTGTATCGATGTGATGTGTAAGTTTGGAGCTATTTGGAATGGGATATTATAAAGATGAACGTGTATTGGACCCAGTCTTTGTCTGCTGTTCGGCCCGATGCATACGAGGTCTTTGTAAGTTGGCGATCCCAGCATCAGCCTCAGGAGGTTTCTGAGATTTTTTATTTGGGCATTTAAGACTCCATCTGGGATGGACATGCGCAGCCTTAAACCCTATTTTCTCTTTGTACGGGTCATTCGGGCTTCATCCGAGACCTGGACAATATCAGATGAATTATCGGGGTCTTGGCAGTGTACCACGAACAGTATGTGATCGCCACATTGTCAAGGTTGGCTTGTCATGACACTTAGAGGTCATTGTTCTAGAAGGGAGTTGTTCCTTTGTTCTCCCAGCAGTACCCGAAGCTGTCTCCTCCCTCGACTTGGGTCTTGCCATTATAGATTATATTGTTCATTCTCCAACTTTATCGGGATGGACAAGTGCGGTTTTACAAATCACTCCGATTCCGTCTCATAACCGACTCCGGCTCCGTCGGTTTCGGATTCCATCGCCCGCAGCAGAGTACAAGCTGACAACCAATTAGAATAGTCTTGGCAAAGATGTAAAGAGTATTGTAAGAATACGAATACCCGTAAAGCCTCTGAACTCTTTGTATACAACCAATCTATTTGTTTTTTCATGCGTCTGGATTCATACTAGACTGGTCTCGACATGACTCTCCAAAGTTGAAGCCATCGTGTAAGTGTCAGCTGTTTCACGCGAAACAGCACTTCATTGAACGCCTTGCGGAAATACCGGATTCCGCGACCTGTATCTACTAGATTTCTTGTCAAGCGGGGTTGACTTGTAAGATCAAGACTCAAGATATAAACCAGTCAAAATCCGTAGTCATGTCCAAATCGGAATCAGTACAGATCCAGTCCTCTGACCTCACACTCTCTTACAATACAATCGTTTGAACAACAATTTCACATTCTTTTGAACCGTCTCCCCTTATCATTAAACAATGGCTAGACAACAACCTCTTATGCTTGGGCTGACGCTCATTGCTTTCTGGGCCTTCCTCTGCAACGGTCTCGACCTCTACCGCGCAGATTCGAGAAACTATGCCACCATCCAGGCCTCCAAGGGCTTCTTGCCAAAGGGTCAATCCACCTTTGGCGTCGCCGCCCCAGACACCAGCCTGTGGAACCACGTCAAAGGAGCCCCCAGCGGCGCCAGCAAGGACGAGGACGGCTACGTGTCCACGACCTCGGACCCCAAGCTGGCCGAGTCCTGGGTCAGCCGATTCCTGGGCGGCAACGGCTTCATCTACCGCATCCACTCGGCTCCCAACATGATTGACTGCCAGGCCACCCTCCAAAAGTACAACCCGTACCCCGAAGAGGCCGAGTTCGCCGCCCTCGGAGGCATCAAGGACAACCAGATCATCGGCTGGACCCCCGTCCGCGGCGGCGTCAAGGGCAAGGAGGAGCTGAACCCCTTTTACCAGGGCAACATCTACAGCAACATGGGCACCGGCGGCGCGCAGTACAAGCTCGCCGCATTCCCGCCCAGCCACCAGGCCTGGGGCGAGGCCCCTTGGTCGCAGTTCGCTTCGTGCACGCGCAGACGTTCCGCCAGGGACCTCTTCCAGATCGAGAAGCGCGCTTGCTCCGCGTCCAAGAGCAACGTCGACTACGCCAAGGAGTACCTCGAGTACGTCGAGGCCGTCTGCCCTGGCTGTCAGTAGTGTCATCAGTCACTATGATAGATTCTCTCGGCTGGATCAAAGCACGAAATCGACTTGGAATTGGAAATGGACGTATTCATCGTCTGCTTCTGGCCAATACTTTCTGGACTTTCTGGACAACAAGACTTCCTTGATTCTTAGATATTGATTTACTATCTGTATATCCCTTAGACAGCTTGTCACGCAAATAATGTTGTTAGACTAGATAGGCGACATGTCTTGACAACTCAATATACAGAGAATATACTTGCATCTTTTGCATTCTTATCCCCAAGTCGGTACGAACATTTTTCCATCCAGGAACGGTCTTCGGGCAGCATATGCCCTGAACAGTGTAAGTATAAAACAATTGTAGTTTTGTAGTCGCCGGGCAACAGAAGGAGTAAGTAAGACTAGTGCAACATATGACTTGGTTGTAGTTTTTTAGCACATGCTACTGTTCATTCCTTGCTGCCATATGTAAAATTCGTGAACTTGAAGTGTTGCACGGGAATTGGAATTGAGTTGACAGAACTAAAACATGAATCATGAGGTCAAGTAATTCAAAACGCCGAATACTTAGAAATAAGAGTATAGCCTGGATGGCTTAATGGACAAAGCCCTCATTAAGTCACAATGCTAGTAAGCTTTCATCATCACTTAGGATTCCACTTTCCAAGAAAAATCATGCTTCTGTCTGCATGGTGGTCCTGCGATCCGGTCTGTGTTTTTAATGCTAGACTGCGATCAAGAGTACCTAGTCGACTATCATCGCCTTTTCTTTCTTCCTCATAGTTGGTGCTTCGACTTGAAGTTCTCTTGTATGTGGTTCCCAACGGTTATGCGGCTAAGAAGCTCCACTCAAGGGATCTACAATGCAGTAGCAAAATGCGCAAGCAAAAGCTTCAACAAGAAACTTGAGAGCAGTCAACTCCCTATTACGTACCAAATTGACAGCTCTGTCTGTTCGCTAAAAAAAAGAACTATACCCAAATCATTAAGCGATACGTTAGTGAAATTGCCCATCGAGTAGTTGCCGAAGCCTTTGCCGGGGGGCCATGACTCACTTGCGAATAGAAGCGAAGAGCTGTGGGGCTCTGCAATGTCTCAACCTTTCAACCCGTTTTTGATGTCGAACCCGTCAGACTAGCGAAGGGCGCATCTTGAAATATTTCAAGCATACGGATGGTTTTCTAAACTCAATGGTGTTTGTTAATTTGCATTTTTGTTTTCGCTGCCAATTGGCTCTTCTTAGTATTTTAGTCGCGATCATCGTCTGAGAGAGCCCCTAGTTGGTCAACTCTCTCCAAGTGTCGACTCAACCCCCGCCCTCCTTCTTTAGACAACAATGGCGTCGAATAAGGACGAGTCAATATCAAACAACCGTTTGGAAGCTGGTCCTCCGGAACAGAACGACACACAATATGATCATGGCAAAGGGTAGGCTAAAGGTCATTGCTCCCTGTTGCGATCACCACACCAATCCCACCCTGATTCGAAGACATAGGCTGACCTTACCTAGCCGTTATATCAGCGTTGTTCTTGCTGCCTTCATGATAAGTTTCATGACGGGTGGCCTGCAGTTCGGCTTCGGCATCTATCAGGCGCACTACGAGACGATGGCTCTACAGGACAACACCCCATTCACCGGCGCCACAGCCGCCCGGCTCGACCTCATCGGAACCCTCGCGATCTCAATGATGACCATCTGCGCACCTGTTGTTGTGGCATGGTCGAAAACGATTGGCCCTCAGAAGGTCATGTGCGCCGGTGGTCTGCTTGTCGGAGTGGCCAACGTCCTGGCAAGCTTCGGTCGGGAGCTGTGGCATTACCAGATTACGCAGGGGTTCCTGATGGGAGTGGGATCTTGCCTCTCATTCGTTCCGTCAATGGTCGTCGTCCCGACTTGGTTCGACAAGCACAGAGCGCTGGCCATGGGTATCGTCTCTGCGGGCAGCGGCGTTGGCGGTCTAGTTTGGGCCCCGGTGCTCGTGGCATGTATTGAGAAGTTGGGCTACAAAAACACTCTTCGCATGACTGGTGCCCTCGGTGCTGCGGTTGTATGCGCAGGTGGAGCAGTTCTCACTTGGGAACCTGTAATGGCGGCCAAGATACGTCATGAGAACGCGACGACATCTAGGCTCAAGAAGATGTTCAAGGTCCCGCTGCCTCCATTGAAGACTGTCACGCAACGCAAGTTCATTGCGCAAAGTCTCAGCATGTTTTGCCAGAGCGCGGCTTACTACACACCCGCATTTTTCTTTGCGTCGTACGCCAAGACCTTGGGATATTCTGACAGCGATGGTGCCAACCTGACCGCCGTCAACAACGCCTGCAACGCTGTGGGAAAGATTGCCATTGGGCTCGTGGCAGACCGCATCGGAAGACTCAACGCGTTGTTTCTCACGACTGTGATCTGTGCCGCCGTTACTCTCGGGCTATGGGTTCCTAGCATAGCCATAGGAATGGGCCATGAGTCCGTGGCGAGGTCGCTACTCGTCAGCTTTACAGTCCTGTACGGTATTTTCGCGAGCGCATACGTCAGCCTGTTCCCACCGGCTCTGGTTGAGCTGTTCGGTATGGAGTTGATGCCGCAGATTACGGGGATCATGTACATGATCATGGGAGTTGCTTCCATGATTGGAACGCCAGTGGCCGGTGCCCTGGTCAGAGGGCACGGTGAGATCAAGGAATCGGGTGACTACATGGGGATGGGTGTTATGGTGGGCACTTTAATGGCTGCAGCAGCCATCTTTGTGGCTTGGATGAGATTAGAGGCGACTGCAGATCGCGCTCAAGGGGGAAGGAAATGGGTTTGGAAACTGTAGGCATTGATGACTTGAGAATGGTAACGGTGCGGCTTTGAGCAGATACTCCTTTAATTGAAAGGCGCTTGTCTCCTCATGACGGGAGTTACTCACTGATCCACAAGCAAGAACGTTGTTCAATGGAATCAAAGGACCTTAAGGCATGGTCCATGACAATGAATGCAGCCTTTAGCTTGTCGCATGACTGTGTTCAACTATCCTGATTCCTGATAAGCAGAACATCAATCAAGGACTACACTCACATGTCTAGACTCCATATCCTTGAGCTTCGACCTCAGTGGACCCTCACTCACGTTGACGGAAAGCGTTTGTAGCCGAGTTGCTCCACCGCTAGGAATATTAACCGTACATAGTA